GGGGGGGGGGGGGGGGGGGGGGGGGGGTTTGCAACTGTCACTTGTTCAGATTATATGTGATACACGGAGGACGCAAGGGGACACGCCACGACAGACCACAATATGGTGAATTATGTCAACCCAGGACAGGACAAAATATCTTATAACTTATTGGGGCGTTTAGCATGTAGATACTCCGAAATAAATATCTTTGTAAATGTATCACTATTATGGGCATGATGTTTTTTATTATATATCGTTATTTTAATAGTTCTAAGCATTAGATTAACCTTTTTGACCAATGTTGTAGGGCCTATATAAGGGGTCGGAAAATTTACAAAATGTACTAAAACCATGCAAAGTGGACCAAAACCATCGGTACCGCCAGCGCTTATGCTGGTGGTGCAATTAAAACTATATGTTCCACTTCAGACGGTGCCCCATTGAGGTAATGTTCTTTTATTTATTTTATTTTTTTTTTCATCAGTTTATTTTTCAATTCAATGTTATATAGGCTAACCTTTGCGTTCCAAATCTCACTAGTTGGAGGCGTTTATCTTAAAGGTTATAGAAATGGGTGACACACTTAGGCCAATTACAAATACCCATCTCTCCCTTCTGATAAGCCACCTTACTAGGCTGCTGATTAGTGAATCAACTTGGATATATCTGCAGAGGTGGGTTTTTTTTATGAGAAGCATCGGCCTATTATGTGCATTCATTCTTAATGCATATTTATTCTTATCTGTCCTTTGTCAGTACTCAAAACGTTTATCCTTGAAAATCTGGGGTTGTTCTTCCAGTTTTCCACAGTCGTTCAGCCTTCTTCACATTTGTAAGCAGGTGGAGAGCTCAAGGCCCTGTGATAAGGATAAAAAAAACAAGGTGTGTCTGATATAAATTGCCAACCTAGGCACAAGAGTGAACTTGCTTTGATAACACTGTTTGTCTGTTAAAATATTGATCGACATATTTGCAAGGTAAATGCATTCTGATGACATGGCGGCTTGCTGTGACGGTGTTTAGGGTAGACTGATCGATATATATTTGCCAGGTAAATACATTCTCATGACGTGGCGGCTTGCTGTGACGGCGTTTGGTGTAGACTGGTCGACAAATTTGTCAGGTAAATACATAAATTATCTCCCAGCAAATTAAAATATAATACATTTCTAATTTGAAAACACTTTCAATACATACAGCAAATGCAAACCTATGGATATGGTATCCCAGCGGGCAAAATCATGTTGTTTCAACTGTGTTGACAAAGATGGGCGATGTTCGACAACGGTAGTAAAACTAACATATACTAGGTACAATCACTGTTACAGGACAGAGTACCGAGCTATCTTAAAGGTACATACGAACCGAGCATCGGTGGAGCGTGGATTCCCAGTAACACATGTAAACCACTTCTACTAGTTTTGTTTACGACTCAAATAAATTCAACATGCCAAGGGATAAACTGAATAGATCACTTGATCAGCCATAAAAAAAAATCAGGCTGTATTCCCAGAGCTTTTAAATCGATCTATCCCCGCGGGGAGTCTCACTAGATTACTGTCAATCCGGCTTAAATGTCCGTCCCGCCTACTACAAGCTGTAAGGGGGTAATTAACTTTCGTGTCCGCTCGGGTGACAGCTATTTAGCGTGAACCCCCAGGGAGTTAGATCGATCTAAAGTAGATCGATCTAATCTCTGGAAATGGGGTCTTAGACTGCTCCTTTCTTTAAATTTTTGGTCAGAAATTTAACCTACTTTCGTGACCTACATGTACTTTTCTGCCCCATTAACATACAGCATAGAATGCTTGCAGAAAAATCCGTTCAAACATCATTTTCGAGTAAAATTAAACAATACCTTTTGATAATTCTCTTAGTTATACTACTTGAAACTATATGCTGGCATTTGGTTGGTTTTTGTGACAAAAAATTGACTTTGTATGCATCTTTAATTAAGATAATGATGTTTTTTGAGCTCCTAGAAAATTCTGGTTACCTAGATCTGCGCAGGCTAGCCTTAGGCTAAACCAAAATTGATAAGTCGGCAACTGTATATAAACATGGTCGGTAGACGAATATATAGAGGGTACCGGAGAAGTGAAGTAGAGCAGAGCTCATATGTGTGGAATATCATGTCAGCTGGACATATAACATCTAAAAACTCGTCACAAAAATCAGAATCTCCTCCGAGCGCAGCCGAGAATTAATAACAGCTTTGGAAGTAACACGCTCGCGCTGCCAGTAATTACGCCTCGGGGTATCCAGGGCACAGACCGTGATCACAAGATGCCGAAAATAGATTTTTAGATTTTTAGAAAATAGATTTTCCATGTGAACGGAGCCCAACACCCAAAAAATAATTAGATATGGGCATATCAGATTACATACATTACAGCCTCGCGGGAATTCATTTCCCTTGGCGCTCTTTGTCGCGCTGTCGGTCGATGCAACATATATTTCAAAACAAATTGACTGCAAATTAAGCAGGATTTTTCACCTTCAAGTATCGTAACACGTTTCATATCATGTCCCTATTATTTCTACAAGTATTTTTTCAAAAGGAAAATGTTATCTCACTTTGTTGTTGGAAAAACTGCTTTTTTTCTCTGAGCCCACGTTTTCACTCCCGTTCACCTCCAGCTAAAAGTGACCGCTCAGGTTCACGTCTTACACCATTTGACGTCACACTTCCGGCACAATCCTGTCTCCTCCGGTACCCTCTATTTAATATTGGTGTGTGGGAGCAACGATACGGTGCGCGTGTAACAGTAATTTTTATGTACAGACACAGATGTGTGACCCGATGTGTCTGTACATATAGCCATCATCTGCGTCTGTCGTCGCCGTCGTCGNAAAAAAAAAAAAATAAATGCACTAAATGATGATGATAGAAGCTACCGTTTATACTCTTTCACAGCCGTCACTATTTTCACTATTTTCATCACCCAGTGGCTAATAAACCACCCAGTCGTGTTAAGGAAATCTTATAAACATGAATTTATGTCTGCAGAACTAATCGTAAGTAATAGGCTATTTTTGCAAATTCTCTATTAGTGCAAATAATAGACAGACCTTATATTGTTTACATTGTAAATGTACTTGCTTCTCCAAGCAGGCTATCTGGGGCAACATTTAAAGGGCAATCGCCAAGTAGGATGTAAGGGAGCCTTTACACTTTCAGCTGTGGCTTAAATTTCCGAAATTTGAATGGCAATATTATTTATTAACCCTACACGCGGGATATGTTCGATACCAGGTACATCTGAGTTGAGCGTTAGTATCTGCAGTCATATCGCATCTCAGCTACACACAATAAAATGAACTAAAAAAGATGACAACTGTTTGGCATATACTGATCTTTATTAAAAACACAATCACTCCATTCCAATACTCATCATCCACGATCTTATTGCTAAAGAAACAGTACTGGGGATTTTGGCAAGAAAAATATAATTCACGATTTTTTTGTGTGTCCCTATTTTTTTTAAAATTCATTACTTTATTTATTATATTCATTACTCTAACATAACCTTAATAAAATTTTGCTTACATGTACGTTTAGAGACTTCTTTTTGTCTTTACTGGACTTTTGTCGCCTGGTTGATAAGGTGCACTCATTCTTTTTTTCCACTTCACATTACATTGCCATATTAAAGTAGTAGTAGTTTCTTTCCCTATCTAGTATACTGCCTCTTTACTGTAACTTGAATAGAAAATAGAGGGAATTGTCTAATTCTACAAAATTAAGTAGATTAACATGATGAGTCGTTATCCCTATAAGTAAAAACCATCACACCGGTATATAATAACCGTGAAATCATATTTCCGCTTATCATGGATGACGTCAAGGTTGTTTCAGCTAGTCGCAAGGCAATACAAGCCCAGGAACTGGCACATCCAACATATAGCTAACGTGTCAGAAAACTTATATACGCAGACAAACACAGCGTCTCGAGTTGTTTGCTCAATGAAGACTCATTTTAGGCTCTAGGGCTGTCGTGGATACAAAATAGCTGCGCAACAGACGGTTTGGGCTACACAAAACTACAAAAGTGTCTAAGAAAGGCTATTCTACAATAACATTGATTTTATGTGAATACAAATTTAAAGATTGATTGGTAAAGATCATCTAAAAAGACTTATCAAACTCTAGAACTGTGGAATGAATATCGTAAGTTCATGCCCGTCTACAACAGCATGGCAGCAGTGACAGATAAGATCAGGAAGGACGCACTCCATACTGACGCGTTACTGCCCGAATTGAAACGCGACCTTTCCCTGCTGTTGCATTGGTTCCCGTTACAGGTGCAGTACTCCATGTCGATGCCGAAGTCCCCGAGTCCCAGTGCCTTCAGTGAATCGGTAGGGAATAGCTGAGTGACGGCCGGATCTTCCTGCGTCAGTTTCACGCATTTTTCCTCCGCTTCTATTCCGACGCATCCCCGTTGGGCCATTTTCATGGTCACTGACATGCCGCTCTGAAATAAAAGAGAAAATCGAAGATTTGGAAATAGGTTGTTCACAGCACATTGTACTTTCCCTGTAAGATGGTCACCACGAGAGACAGAGAAATTTCTTGTTATCAAACTATTCGATGGTACCAACAATACTGGAAATGTAGTCAAACATTTGATATAGCGGGGGGTCCTCACGTTCAGATGTGATGCTCATTTGAACACGTCTTAACACATTGGATTTTTATAATTACAATGATGTTACTTTTTCAGATGTAATACCAAAATAATTTCAGTCTTTTAAAGATGGGTCGCTCGTAGTTACATTTGCCCAGAAAGTATCCGGTTGCAACAACATTTTTTAATTTGTGCGTTCAAGTTTTGGCAGTTGTTACTCGTTGGCAATAAATCTAAATCTTCGATCTCTAGAAATCAGCTGTCCCTGGCTTTGAACACCTATCATTCCCCCCCCTCCCCCCCCACTTTATACCTCTGATGTTACTAGTATTCCACTTAGTGTTGTCGACTGTGGCTTATGTTCTAGGGATGACTATACTTACCATACTCATATTGACAGTGGATCCGGTATTTGAACAAGAACCTTCGCAGAACTTTGTGGGAGTCTCCGATCCTTTGTCCAGACACTCGCGTACGCTGGTTGCTTGGGTGATTTGATCGAAGGTCTTCTGCATCTGGCTGTCGGATGTTTCGTACTTCATGTAAGTGCACACGTGACATTGGGTATGCGGGGCTGTAAAAAGACAACCAAAGTCTGCGGTGTTAAATGGAAATCGCATTCAAATCACCTTGGTTTTAAAATTTATAATAAGTCAATTAATCAATTGAAGCTCTGCTGGTTTGATGACAATTTGATCAGATAATCTAATTAGGTGAAATAAACGCAACCACGCCAGTGATTGTACCACCAGCTGGAAAAAAAAACGAAAAAAGGCACCAATCCCAGTGTTGTGCTCGACATGCTCAACAAAATGCCGTTAACAATATTATTGCTGGAAAATAACATTTAAAACAAAATCATGCGGAAAAGTAGAAGTTAAAATCCAAATTTGTGAAGTATTTCTAAAGGCCAAAAGTAGGTCAAAGGTCAATATCAAGATCACAGAAAGATTGTAAGTATATAACTTCCGTTTAAGTTCATTAGTGACTATGGGCATATCTCCAGATATATAGGGGATAGAAAAAATATAGAAAAAAAAGTTTAGTTTATGGTGAAAAGTAGGTCAAAGGTCAATTCCGAGTTCACAGATTTTCAGTATACGACTTCCCATTCAAGTTCAATAGTAACTATGAGCGTATCTCTGCCAGTTTCGGAAATATAAGGGATGGAACATTTGCAAAGATCAGTTCATGGTGAGGAGTAGGTCAAAGATCAATTTCAAGGTCACTATTAGATTGCCAGTATACAGGTATGACATTCTATTCAAGTTCACGTCAAATTCAAGTTCAATAGTAACTATGGGCCTATCTCTGCCAGTTTTGGAAATATAAGGGAAAGATAGCTGAAACGTGCAGTTCACGATGAAAAGCGCACACGCTGGCAGTACTAATTATTTTAGCGCTCGGATCTAAAGCCGGTATGGCGTCACATGTAATACTTGTGACGGCTTTTTTAAAATGTTTTAAAATTCGCACGCGCACATGTACTTCAATACCCATTTTCCAGTCGTTTAACTTTGGCAATTATAGCAAGTGCATTCAAAAGCACACTAAGGGTGAGATTGTCGACGTTACCTTTGGGAAGTGCAGGTAGAGACGAAGCATCTTGTGTACAGCTGTCGCTATTGCAAAAACACATCCTCCCAGAGACCTTCTGTCCTATGGTCAGACCGCCTCCCAGAACAGCCTGAAGATTCTGTACGTCGTTCGAACTTAAAGTTTTGCATCCTTCATTCACGCTCTTTGAGGGATTGCAACTTCGATACACAACACCAACGCTCGTGGAGTTTCCCTGCAACCAAGACCAATGCTTATGCGCAGTGAATTTAGAACTATCACAAATTCAAGAATTTGGCTTTCGTTTAACTTACATATAGGATGCAAGAAAGGCTTTGCCCCTTCCACATACCCCTGTATACTCACCAACAAAACACTAACTATCTAAAAACTCACATCTCAAACATTTTCATTATTGGATTCCTTTGTAATTGTTTTATTAGACTGGTTCCCATACCTAGATACATCTAACAGTTAGTGCGATGGGCCTGGGGATCGGTCCCTTACACGTTTTAACTGCGTGCTTGAACAGAAAGGGTAACAATTTAATATCTGGCTGAATAATCCAAGGTATTTCTGGTTAAAAACTTACGTCTATTTGAGTGGTTGTGTTGACTTCAGCATACGCACAGGAACCGTCGCAGCTAATTGTCTTAGTTACAGAGGTGGGGTTCTTGGCGCACCCAGCGTCCATCACACTTGCATACATCTTTTGGATAACGCCCTGTGCATACTCATCACCACCTGTATCGGTAATATACATACACTGTGTGCACTCCAGTGCCTCCCCTGTAAATAATAATAATAATAATAATGATGATAGTAATAATAATAATAATAAACTATGAGAGGTTATGGTTTCTGTCACATACTTTGCATGAAATAGCTACAACATGTTATGAATTATACTCTTCCTAAAAATGATGAAATAGTTTGATAATTGGAAATAAGTTCTGTGTGATAATTGCCACAAATCTCTGCTGTACCTGGCTGTAGCATTGACCAATAAACAATGCTCAAGTTGCGAAAGAGGACTGAAACACCTCGAGTAATGCAAAATGGTTGGTTAGAATAACAGGCCACATGCACTCTAATATAATAAACTAATCGCTGCAAATTTAAAGGGTGCCACACTTCCACCTGGAGCCCGAAGGAGAACTTGAAAACTTTGGTGGATGTCGTATTTTGCGTGAAAACGAAGGGACATTGATGCTGGAATCCGTGGACCAGTCGAATTGAGCCGCAGGAACGACGTGTGGGGAGGCGTGTGAGAGGCGGAGAGATCATTACAGGATTAAGCGGTCTTCCTTTCATGTAGGCCCGCCATATTTAGGCCGTGGACCAGCTAGCACGCGGCTCTTCTCATTCTGAATGGCCTCTTGAACTGACAAATTCATACAATCTGTCCTGTCTTCCGTCCGTTTCCAATGAAAAGAAATGTTACCAGTACCATTTGGTTTCTATACTATATACACCGTTCATGAATGTTTCAAATTCACCACTTGAATCCTGACTTGGAGATACTGATAGCAAGATGCGGGCATGAAATAGAACCGAAGTAAAATCCGTATAATTACTGTCTCCAGTCGACTGCAGCGATTACTACGCTTGCTTACCCTCTACCAGGGCCACAGATTGACTTTTTACATGATATTTACAGAAATATCTTTAGATAAATATGTGGTCATTTTACTATCTCTGATTTTTCAATTTTCCCCTACGATCTGCCTCCTTGGTAGAGGGTAACTCTTGTTGGGCGTCTTGTTTAAACTAGGAGTGGGTGTTAAAATCACTGCCTCGTGTTAGTTTGTTATTTACCTTAAACAAAATGCCGCGGTAGGTAGACTTTTAATGTCACCAGTTAAGCATGTTTGATAGGTAATGCAATCCTGACGTCACGAATACCTTGCTACCCTCTTTGTAATTTGTGAAAAGGTCGGTGTATTATTCGCGCAAAAATGTTTTCTTAGTGTGTTTATGTATATATCCTGCAACGCATCGCAACTTTTCTTTACCCATTCAGATCAACAAAGTCCAAATAAAGGTACATGAAGTACGCGTTCTTTTAGAAACCACTTTGCAAGTTTTAGCAAATGGTGATAGCTGCAAGTCGTAAAGAGGTTTTTTTGGTCAGTGTGACCGTAACTGCGCAGGCCCTGAGAGCTCAAAGAGACCAAGCACTGAAGCAAAATACCATTAATGAAGATTAATAAGGATTAAACTTATTCAAAAAAATAATTTTTATTATTGCAGTGCTGGTTGCAATACCAAGATGATATTAAGCTATAGTAAGGTTTGTTTTTTCACATTAGTAAAATGAACTAAATGCGTTAAAAAAACTGAGCCGACTCCCACGTATTACAGCAGCCAACACGTTCCCAGCTCTTTGTGAAGGTGTCACTTTACTAGAACATTTTTCTTGTATCCTGAGAGGGGAATTGATGTGAAAGCAGCTACCGTCAAAAGTTTGCAGTATGTATGATCTGTAAGACCTTGTGGTTATCAATAGGCAATCGATTGCTACGGTCCTTCAAACGGTTTTTGATTATCAAGTGTTTGCTGACAGTGTATCGCTCAGCAAACAGGTAACCTATATCTTGAAGGTGGTCTTCAGAGGTAAGATATCATACTGCTACCCTCTAGCAGGGCGACAGATTAATTTTTCACTAGATATTTAGAGATATGTCTGTGTATAAATAGCTGACTAATCTCTGTACTGTCGCCTCAGCAAAAATGTCGAAATAAAAAATGCAGCCCTGGTAGAGGGTACCATACTGCATCCTTGCTGCAACCGTTGCGCGACAAAATATATGCTAAAGCTTCCTATTAGGCTCGCAAAGTGATTGCAAGCGACCGCCAGATTTTGTATGTTGCTAAAAGGTTGCCAAAAGGAAAGTTTGTAGCAAACACTGTGTGGCCCGGTCTTTACATATAGCTGTACAGCACTCGTTGCGAGACCCCGCCGTTCTTCTATCCAGTAAATTATCTGTAGTTGTGTCTGCATACTAAAATAACGCAAATATTGGCCTATGGGTGCACTCCCAGAGATTTGAATCGACCCAGAGATTAAGATTTAGACCTAACTCCCCGCGGGTTCACGCTAAATTGCAGTTAGCCGACCGCGCACCATAGTTACAGCTTTAAGTAGGCGGGACAGACGCTTAAGCCGACTAAGCTGACAGTAATCTAGTGAGACTCCCCACAGGGATAGATCGATCTAAAATCTATGGTTATGGGGTCTAAGATATCATCAGTTTAAACGCTTTTATGAAACGATGATTTGAACTCGAACTGTTGAACAAAAATAATCTACAGACCAAAAATGTATAAGTTCTTTCAGATCAAAATTTAAGTCGACTTTGATGCAAGATAAATCAGTGATAGCAAGGACACTTGATGCGTTCGATTTTGAACATGAAAGACTTTTTGTACAAGTTACAACACGAGTCGTCCACTGTATGCCGCATACTAACCTATACATGTACATGTTCAAGAGCAAAGTTACATCGAGGCGCAAGAGGCACGAAGCTGTGAAAAGGCCACGCTCTCTGGACTTAAACTATGATACTTTCTCTTCTAAATAAAAAAAACTAAATAACAAATCTTAGCCTGAAGACAGGCAACATTAAATGAAATAAAATGGCCTGGAAGACACTATATGGTACTATATGGGATTTGCACTGTATATAGAAAACCAACAGGGCTGCGCGCTGACTTATCCCAAAAACGTGCTTGAATGCAACTTATTGGCGCTGAAACTCAATATTTCTCGCCTTACCCAACTCGATCCTTCCCAACAGAAACATCAGAACAGTAATCGCCAGCATCATGGAACCAATTGGTGCAGTGCAGTATCAGTGACGGTCAATATTCCGAAAATAACGGAAACTCGGCATCTGATGAACTGGTACGCCACTTAGCGTCTGCGCAGTTTAAGCCCGCTTCCACTTAGAGGGGTGCCAGCTATGCCGATACTTACCAGAATCAGCAAATGCAATAAGTTCTACACTCAGAATATGGCTGTTGTTTAGAAATTCTCAACCATTTTAGTTAGATTCTAACAAAAATATACGTGTGCAGAAATACATGTTTGACTTGTTAATTTGCATGACAGGACAACACCCCTCCCTAAAATGCACCAAACGGCGTGCCATCTAAATCAATAGAGAGCTTTCGCACCTGCACGTTTAGGCGAACGACTACGTTTAGGTCATCATAATTTGCTGTCTAGTGACGTGTACACATACGGTTAGAGAGAACATTATCCGCAGCTAGATTGCTACCCGTCAATGAAAAACGGTTTGACAAATCAGCATAATTTCATGAAATCAAGCCTTTCAAAGTTGACCGTTTCTCTACTAAAATTGTATTGGACATTTTATTTTTGCAATATATGTGAAACATTTTGTCTCTGTTATTTTATTTGTGTCTATGTTTTTGTTACTATTGAAATATAGGTTATACCCGTAAAAAAGGCATTTTCCACTGACCACAAGGTAGTCAGAACTGGCCTTCCGCACGCGTGACGGATTGTATTATAAGACTGTTAGGTCATCATCTTGTGAGCAGTTTTTACGAGTACACATGCCTTTATAAGTGGTCTATAGACTAGCCGTCTGCACTTGACGCGAAACAAGCAGGATATCCGTCAGGTAAGTGCCGTTTAGTAAGACACTACCAGTAGCTCGATTTTCTCCATAGTTGACAGGAGACATATCTCCTAGACTTTTAATGCAAATTTTATGAAGCCATGTTTCGAAACACGGCGTCCTGTTTTGTGTATTTGAATGAATCTGTACTCTGAAATTTTGGGATGAGAAATATTGATTAATATTAATTATATTAGTAACAAAACTGACGCTGCATTAATTGGTGACACTGTTTTTTTAGCTTAAAATTGCGACAACATGCCGCCAACTAAGAAGCGCCGAACTGATTCATAAGCAGATTACGTCAGTTACCTGAAAGACAAGTTGGCCTTCGAGAAAGAACGCTTTGAATTAGAAAACAAAGAGCGAGAAAATAAAATTGAAAAAGACAAACACATGGTGGAGATGGTTATATATATGTCTTTGGTTAAAAAGAAAAACTGAATTGACATACTAGGCTCTTGCTGCCTACAACATATACATGAGATGAAACTATGTTAAAAGAGTAGTTTTTTCTTCAAGATTTCATTTAAATAAAGTTTGCTTGCTGTATGAATTTTAGATTTTACTCTTTAATTTTTCATACGCACAATTTACACGTGTACAGTTCATGCTAAATAGTTCTCCAGGGTGGGAGGATCTAGTTCAAAGTACCGACTGGTCTGATTGCCATACACACAGGTATGGCAGTTGACCAGAAGACCACCTACCAAGTAGTACTTAGCTACAGGAGACAACAGAACTTTTAAATTCTTTCGAAAGTCCAGGAAGGCAAAGTTTCGCAATAAGTTTCCGAACTCCCACTCGACGCATTCCCGGACAGATGACATTCTCCTATTGAATTCTTCTTCTTCGACACTCAAATTTGTAAAGTGTTTATGCGAGCTATCTGTCTTCCGTTCGAGGCTCGTGTGTCCTCCCCTCGCACCGAGTGTCCTTATTTAGCTCTGCTCTGCGTCGCCAGATCCGCTCTCCGTATTCACAGGTCGAAGCTCCTTGTGTAACTGTGTGGGTATATACCGTAGAAAGGTGTATAGGTGAGTCCGCACCCTCTCGCGTCGTGGCTCGAACTGCACTTAGTCTACTAATATACTGCACTCCCGCCAGTTCGGAGAGTGCTTCCGGCACAATCACAACACTCCTCCCCTCTTTATTTGAAAGAGATGAGTTTACTTCCAAGTTTTTCCTGATAGAATCATACAAGCAGTTCCTTAGTAATTCCAGCGGTGCTCACCTGAAATTCTTGAAATATATACAAGTTAAAAAGATATTTACACAAAGATACATGTACAGATTTACAAAGGAGTCCCCAAAAACAAAACAAATGACTCCAGTATGAACAAAATTACTTTACACATTTACAAAGGCTAAGTCTACAAAAACAAAAATGACTCTAGCATGGACAAAAATAGTTATTTACACAGGAATCTACAAAAACAAAACAAAATATTCCTGTTATTCAGAGAACACAATTGACAAATTCTGAGAATGACGTCTCATGGCTTCTGCCATTTCAGCATGACAATATTATAACTGTCACACAGGCATCACACTTGATTCATCACTGTGACTCTGGGAATATTTACAATCCAAGTGAATGATCATTAGAGGATAAAGTCAAAGACAGTAAAGGACCAATATCTGTCGTATGACAATTATCTGCATGACATACGCGTCACACACTCTTGATCTATCACTAAAGATTGAAGCTCAGTAACGATATAATATCTGTCACATATGAGCTAAGTGTAGTGATGTAAAATCTCCTACACTGTTCTTTAGAGTGCAACAATATAAATCTGTTACACTATACGGTAACCACAGTACAGATGTTGCCCATATAGGTTAAGATCACTGGTTAGATAACCGTTTAGTCTCCCTCTCTGGCTACAACCAAACCATGCAACTAGACATTACCCCAGTGGCTGCAGCATGTCCTTACAGTACCATCATCCAAGTTCACTTCACACATAAAGAGACAACCAGTATCCCTACCCCTTAAAATAAAAAGTAAGGCCAAATGTACATATAGCTACCAGACAGAGATAACAGTCAACTAATCAAAATCCATTCAATCTCCAGGGTTTAAATTGTAATCAACAGAAATGAAACGCCTTTCAGAGATATAAACTTTCATGAAACAACCTTCTGAAATTAGGGTTACCTGCTACCGCATGAGCAATTAGACCACTTTAGATGCACCTGTCATTCACCTTAAGACATCCTTAATCCATCTAAATTTTAGTCCCTCAATGCTCTTATTCAGAAGTAACATACATATCCCCTTTTTACAGATCATCCAGAAACATTCCAGATAGACACTTGCACGTTATAAACATGGTAATAAGGATTCCGGATTCCAATATATACCATACAACTTGAATAACAAGCATTCAAATACAACCAAAACGTTCACGTCACTCATAAGTGTTACCCCTGCACTTGCCAAAAGTTAAGTCCTATCACTGGAATTTCATTGCACAATGTATAAACCAAGATCAAGAACTATTCAAAAGGCAAGATTTTTTAAATAAGACCCAGAATGATACTTGTTACAGTGGTCTTTATAACAGTCAACAAGACAATGATGTTGAACAAAGTCCATATTGCAAATTTCCAGCAAGAGTAACTTCATAGATATGACTTTCGTTACCAAGGCTACCAAACTCCAATGAACAGCAATGCCTTGTTTAGTGACTTTACCATTCAACTTTATTTGCAGAAAAATATCAACATGACTACCTTTTCTTCACCACAGTGACTGTAATATCTGCCAACATGCAGCAGCAATACTCACTTCAGCAAGTGTACCAACTGGAGCAGAAACATTACAACTTAACTGTTCAAAAGACCAATGGCAAACAAATATCGGGACTCAACAGATACCTTCTAATGGGGATGCCGGATCTCCATAAATTGCGTATGGAAGACCATTCCTATCAGTAAGCTCTCTAGCTTCCATCTGTTCCATCAATCCACTCGAACGAAGCAGTGCACAGTCATGTCTTCGCCCTTCTAGAGGACCATAAAGATGCGTAATCAACCCGCTAGGTATCACTACTGATTGAAATTTCAATGCGTGGATGCGCTTGTGTCCATTGTAACATACACGTTGATGGCGTGTTGGCCTGCTTATAGGACGAACCGTGCCATCCACAAAACCTATGCAGTTCTGCAGCGGCGCACCCTTCTCATGTATTTTATCAGCATAAATTTGAAGTTGTGCAGGACCCAACCACGGATTATCCAGTGTATCCAAACGATGATGATGACTGTCATAGAGTAGACCAACAGTGTGATTGATGATCACGGATAAGGTCGATGCAGGTCGACCAAAAATCTTTCCAAATCACTCAGTCGATTTGGGTACGAAAATCTCCTTAAAACCATACATAAGGCATCAAGTCCGCTGCACCTGCATCTGTTCCTTACAGTTATGTTGTCAGGAAGTCCTAATAACGTTACCAAGCGATATACATCTTCCTTTTCAAAGCGAAAGTCGTTCAAACACTGGTCGTTAGTAAGGGTACCCAAATTAAAACTTGGCCATTCAGGGTCATAGGTTATCAGCCTTTTCTGAGGTCTATCGCGAAGGAGAGCGTATATCAACTCCTCATCATCGCCTTGAACGGCCATTTGCAGGAGGTCCATGCTGAGGTGTGTGTAGTTTTAGTAATAGATAGACCCCGAGTCAGCGAGGGTTATGTGGCATACACGAGTGCGTAGCACGAGTGGATGTCACATAACCCCCGCTGACGAGGGGTCTATCTTATTTAGACCACGGTCCATGAACGGGTTATAACGCATTCATGCAAGACGTGCGGTTATGCGAGTTACACCACGTCCGAGTCTTTTGTTCTTCACTTACACCGTGGTCTAAAGTGTGTTTACCCCTGTAATGTTTATCATGCCTATTCGTTCATCACAAATTACCTAACCTGTCCAATGGCGTATGACCTCATTTAACGTCTCTGCTTACAGCACGGGAAACATGTATCAGCCTGCTATACAATTCGACTATCCGTAAAGGCTAACCGGGTCTTTCTGCGAAATCACGAAAAAATAAACGTTGGTCACTTTACGGTTACGGATAGCTAAATGTAGTCGGTCGCCTAAACGTGCAGTTGCGAAAGCTCTCTAATGACTAACAATACGAGTATAAACGTGAAAGCGAAAGTATATTGATTTAACGTGTAAATACAAATCACCCCACGTTCAAGTCGTAAAACGTCTACTAAATAACAAAAAATTGAGAAAACAGCAATAAGAAGTAAGTTTCAAACGTAAACATCCAGCCTGTTAACTCAAACTGTTGGGAATGTTTGTCGTATCACAAAGAAACTTCAGCCCCCAAAAGTTTGGAGTGAGACTGGTTTCCCATTCCTAGATCGATGTAACTGGATCGGTCCGTCTCCACGAGGTTTCTCGCTAAATTGCTTTCAGTTTAAGTGGCTTAGATGTCAGGGATGCCTGCTTACGCTGGTAAACGATAGTTACACTCTATCAACTTCAGTAGGCGTGACAGACATCTAAGCCGCCAAAGTAGTTAATTGCAGTTAAGGCCGGTGATAGGGTTAAATACGCTTAAAATCATGTTTTTGAGTTTTTTTGTGTTTATATTAATCAAAAAAGTATCTAACGTTGGATGTAATAATTTTTATGAACTTGCATCGCAAAATGTGTCTTTTGATGAGTTTTTCAACCGGCACGCGCCCCAGTCAGGCTGACAACTAAGCCACGCCTCTGTTACTAAGGGCCGTTGCCATGAGGGGGTCGGAGCACAGTTAATGAGTTATAAGCCGATTACGTGTGCGGTAATAGGTCATAAGTCTTACATCAGCTTAGCAGCGAAGAAGTCTAGCTAGTACACTATGGGGAAGAGAAAAGTTCGTGTTAAAAGTCCATTTCCAGAGGAAAGAAAGAAAATTTTGAAAGAGAGTAGGGCCTATGCGTGGCGGTTGGGGAAAACCGGCCCTATTTGTTCAGTCGGATAACTGATTTCTGTATACCTAATAAATGGGTGAAAGAGTTAATCGAATCGTCTAAATTAATTGACAAATGAAAGAAAAATCGATAAAAACATAAATAAAAAAAGCTAAAAAAGGATACTTTTAGCCTAGCCTTTAATTTTTGCGATATATATCGTCGAGCGTATCTGCGACACGTTACGAAACCGGAAATGATTGTNCCACAAAACTTCATAAATCTTATTTTATTTTGAGTATATGACTGTGATCTTGTAGTATGGAAAATGGATGATACATTGGCACATTTTTTGTAGTTTGCAGTGAAAATTTCAATGAAAAAATAAGAAAATTGAAAATGTGCACATGGTTAAAAAATTGAGAGAAAAAAAGTAATAAAACACATGAAAATAAGAAAAATTAAGGATTTGTTTTCTAACACCCAATGGCTCCCCTATAAAAAGCTATTTATTTGATGTTTGATGATCATTCTGACAACTTTTCTTTTATGATACTTTATGAAAAAATTTATTGGAAATATTAAAAAGTTTTATGGTAAAATACTGCGTGAAAATAAATGAAAAATGGATAATAAATTTGCATTCTTGTACCCGTATGATTTTGACTCCCCTAGTTAAAAGCACTTATTTCATATTTAGCACACATTTAAATGTTTCTACTTTTTAGTTTTCTTATGGAGAACATATGTGGAATATTTAAATTTTGTGGGTAAACATTTTTGCAAAAAGTGTTTGAAATTTAAATATAGTGAGAAATCAAAATACTTGCCCCTTAACTAAAAAAAAAATCATATTGTAATTTAAGAACACAATAGTAAGGAAATATCACCAACATGTGAATAATGCTGCTAAAAAATTTCCCATAAATTTGCTTTACAACTATCACATAAGGTTATTCTCTTTGTTAAGATGAGTTTTAAATATCATAAACAGGCTGAAAATGTTGATGCCTGTTGTCTATATAGATTACTCCACTTTTCTTTGACTTGTCTGACAACTTAGGTAGTGGACTATACTTCAACCACTTATAAATTTGTTTACCCTGTTTGTCTTGACCATAGGGTGAATAAACCATGATATCAGTACAAAGTAAAGTTGCAACTGCAAAAACCTCAATTTCGGAGGTTATGATGGGGGAGTCAAATTTTCATGGGGGAGTCAGATTTGTATTATGTGCACATTTTTAATTTTCTCACTTCTTTATTAAAATTTTCACTGCAAACTACAAAAAATGTGCCAATGTATCAACCATTTTACATTCTACAAGATCACAGACATATACTCAAAATAAAATAAGTTTTATGAAGTTTTGTGGCGGGGGAGTCAAATTTTCATGGGGGAGTCAGATTTTCATTATGTGCAAATGTTTATTTTTCTTATTTTTTCATTTGAATTTTCACTGCAAACTACAAAAAATGTGCCAACGTATCATCCATTTTACATACTACAAGATCACAGTCATATACTCAAATAAAATAAGATGTATGAAGTTTTGTGGAGGGGGAGTAAAATTTTCATGGGGGGAGTCACATTTTCATTATGAAAATCTGACTGGGGAGTCACATTTTCATAATGAAAATCTGACTGGGGAGTCACATTTTCATGGGAGTCAGATTTTCATGTTACACCGGCACTGAGGACTTTTTAAAACGAACCGCATATGTGCGGTTTCCGGCGCTATGGGGTTAGTCTACTGTTCTGGATGTGCTCTTAATGTCCCAATTCACAACTTGCTCCACAGTTCAACAAATGTGACAAATATTCTTTTTTATTAAAGTTACATATGAAGTGAGAGAATGTTTCTTGTAACGCATATAAATTAATCTGAAAAGAGCATTTAAACTGCACCTTCTTCAAACATGATCTGTTTATCCATCCCTCTAGCCTGTAAATCTGTCAAATTATTTAGCAATGTATCTAGCTCATTGCTGCAACTAGCGCAATACCAGAAGTATTCAAATAAGAGTTGGCTTAAACGACTGAAGATTATACATAGCACACATAGAAATCAGAAAAAATCTGTTTAAAAAGCATTTTTGGAAAATATAAAACGATACTATGAGGTTATTCTTTATATAGAGTCTCGTGTAATTTACTTTTCCTCTGTTCCAGATATAGAAATATTTGTCAAGCTGTGCCCATAAACATCTGATCGACAAATAATACAGTAAATGCGAACTAATTTAGATACCATTTTGTATTTCTAAAAAGCATGCTATTTGAAACTATCTGTTGGTCTTTTAGCAGGTTTTGTGGCAATGGTTTGATATACCACCTCGCTTCCATTACATCTTTAAGTTGTACGCAAAAACACTCTCCTGCGTTCATTTTTTTTTTTTTTTTTTTTTTTTTGAAGGGAGGGGGGGGCAATTGCATGATCAAATCACTTTTAATCAATTATGATACTGCACCTTTATGTGCTGCGTTACCTAAGTTAAGTATTTTTTTTTAAATAGTCCTTTAATTTTTTGTTTAATATCCCCTCCGTTTCCAGTAAGTTACCGCAAATGTATGCTGATGATAGATTGTAAGTTCCAGCAATTTATGTAATTCAGGGTATCGCATGGCGTGAATCGCAGGAAATGGTGTTTTCTTAGTCGCGGTGTTCTTTAATTCATTTTATCCCAGTATGCTTTTCTTGTGAATTATACTGTATCGCATTGGATAGCATGAATTGATTGCATTAAGTATTGCTGTACAATAAAAGCCAATGACAAGGATAACCTCTCACACGTGTTACTGCCTACACACAACCCTTGTTAACCTAAGCGAAAATGAACTGCCTTAATGCTTAATTTGGTGTTTATAATGCTTTTTATTGCTTAATAACTGTTTTGTTGCTTGGAGTTCGGAATACGCTATGTACAACAGGTAGCCACCGGTACCCTTTTAAACCATGGGAGTTTACTAATGTTTCTCAGTCCCCAATGTTCAAACAGTTTCTTCTTCTATAGTGGAAGTAAAGATATTTTTACCTTCGTTTCAGACAGGAAAATGTTGTTATTAGTAAAAATATATAAAAAATGTAAGGTTGTACTCTTGTGTAAAATATATCATCAGACCATAATAAAGGACATTATTGTATGCTTAAAGAGGGGGGAAGTACAGCAATAGTCATATCCACGTTGAAATTTCATAAATCGATAAATATATATTTATTTTCAAAAGATAAAATATGTTTAAATGCTTGATAAAAATGTACAAAACTAACATTTGCTAATTTTCGTAGATTTGGTATCTTTAGCACGCCAAGCATACAATAAGCTGATATACAATGTACTATATATAAATGCAATAGCTTGCATATACAGATATGAAAGAGAGAAAGATATACTCGAGCCGTAAGCTTTGCAACACGGCTGATTAAATCTTCAGCCTAAATATACTGTAGTATTAACAGCTAGGCACCAAACCGCCAATGTTGCCTTACGACATGGCTCTAAGTTACTGTGCCTCGCTAATACTCCTAAGTCGAGTATAGTCGTTTTGTTGAGCTCCGTGGTGAGTTGAGATACTTTCATATTCACCAATAGGTGTCGTTGCCTCTTCTCTCAAACTTAACTGAGTGTACGCTTTCTGCTCAGCGCCATCTCGCACCATACCTTCATACGCGCGGTGAGAGTTCGAGGCATTCGTGGTATGTTCAGTCCTTGGTCCCGTGTGTGATCTCCCATCGTGATTTGTCTCCGTGCTCTGGCACGATGCTGGCAGTGCTTCAGTGTAATCGTAGGCATAATTATGGTAGTCTTGGGCGTCAGTTACAACTGGCGCCGGGGAGTGCCTCTCTACCTTTTTCTCGCTGTTCCTACATCGTCGCCATACCGCGTAAACCAAGATGGCGGCGAGGATGACGGCCACAATGACGGCGAATGTCACGCCGATGATGAGTGAGATATCAACTTGCGTATTTGTAACCACTGTAGGTTGCTCCGTGTCTTGACCTGACGAATATAGTTAAACAAACTGAAAATATTCAGTAATGTAAAAATATATATAGATCGCAAATTCTCAACGGGTTTGGATAACTGGTCAATTGTTGAAATTCCTTCATATTGCAATGCAAAGGCTAATTGCATTAGACACGTTTAGCTAATTAATTAAATGAACAACCCGGTTTCATAATACGTACAATCAAAGCGACTGAATGACCCTGGTGGCGACGTTTTGTCCCCTTCACACTTGTTACACGCGGACTGCGCCCGACGCTCCTGGTACGTGTTTTCTGGACATGAATCGCAGGTTTTCAGGAGAGAGTTGTATTTTGTGCCAGGTGGACACTTAACTGAAAAAAATTTAAAACAAATCAATAGAGAAATAGTTGTATATTATAAAACTGGGGCTGAACTTGATTACCGGTAGTTACTACCAGGTAGTAAGCTGTGCAAGTTAAAAGTATCTGTATGTCTTCCTCTTACCGCAGTATTTGTCCAGAACCTTCATCTGCCCTTGACCACAAGTTGTCTCTTCCTCGCCAGGCGATCCCGTTTCAAAGGTGTAATTTATTCCACCATATTCAAACCGAAACTGACTGCTGACGATGAAGTTTGTCACATTCTCGGCCAGAGCTAAAACATTTTGATACTCATCCGTGCTGTTTTCCTCGCTATGAAAATAAGAAATCGACTACATTCATTTCTAAATTCGATTTGATATTTTACACGTTGATCATTGCTAACTTTCGCTAGGGGAATAACCATGTACATGTATATCCAGTGACGTGTGCTAGGGGTTTCAGTTAATCCAAAGGCAAAATAGGCAACTACACGTACAAATCGCACAGGCAGAAATGATGACGAAGAATAGCCGCTCTGACTACACTTGGTTAAATTGTTACATTACAGCTCTAATGGGAATTTGTGCCTGAGAGAGAGAGAGAGAGAGAGAGCGAGAGCAAGAGCTTACGTAAAAGTCGCATTAAGAGCCAAATTCACAATAAGTTCCCCCTCGTGGGAGTCTCGGCGTCTTCTATCCTCCTCCCTACAGATGACCTCCACCTGTGACCTTTGGCATAACTTAATTAAATCTCCTTCGGGACACAAATCAGCGTCTCTCAGCCACTTAATCAGCTCACCCACGACAAATGGCTTGAAGTAGTTATCATCCACACAGGTTCCTGGATGTTCCACGTTAAACAGGAGTCTATAACTCCTTGGTGGCTCTAGAGCTGAAACATACAGACTTCCATTGGTTATGTTCGTAATGCATAAAAACACTCAAAGTAATGGTAAATGTGGAACAGAGAAAGGCCTTGCTAGTACATTCATGCTTCTTTTAAGGGTAATTATAAATAGGGCAACATCTCAACTTAAAGCAATTAGGACCCGTGTTTTGTAAAAATAATCCATGTTCTTTGACCCACTAAATAGTAATACTGACATTAAACCGTTCACAAACCATACTCTTTTAGAGATTTATCCCATAATCATGTGAACACGCGCGTAATCGGGTGCGTGAAAACTTGGCCTACCTGTACTAGCACATCTACTGGCACATGTATCATTCGCCCAATGGAACTAACGAACTACGGTATAGATGGCAGCACAGTGAAAATAAACAGAGACACTCACCAATACAAGCCAGTGTCTTAAGAGCGCCCCATTCAAACGGCGGCTCCCACTTTCCCTCCGGGTTACACATATAACTCTGTGGTACATCCGGGTTCTGTCTGATGTTGCTAGGGACTGAAAGGCACGTGACGTCACAGAGTTCACTGCCGACAGCTGGCTGCCTACAGCGTAAAGTACCACGGTCCGGAACGGGAATTTTATTTCGGCATTCTTAAACGATAATGAAATTGAGATTAAAGACGGCACTTACTTCGAACATGATGTCGGAATTGGATCATTTGCGTTTTTCCTCCCAAAAAGGATAAATTATATTGAGTCAAGTTGCCCAAACAGCAAAAACACGTACCAGCACTGCCAAAAAATAGAGTAACTATTACAATTTTTTCAATTTACAAAAGCCAGAGTTCATGCCAAAGCAAAATTTAAAGCATTGAAATTACAAAAGTAAGTCATGTCTTTTTAGGAACCCAGAGAATAGCCAGCAATGCCCAACATTTTGTACAGACAGCAATCATTAACTAGTATAGTACGCTGCCAATGCCTACAAACACTATGTCTAATAGATATTCTGCATACCTTTCACTATACGTTTCACGTCTACGGTAAATTTGCAAGTAGCTTTGTTTCCTGCAGTGTCTTCGGCGGTGTACGTGACAACAGTTGATCCAACGGGAAAAACATGCCCTGTAAAATAATCAGCATATGTTTATACCATTAGAGGTTATGAGGAAGTCGGTACAAAAATTAATCTCTCACATTTCTGAATATTTTCCTTTGGTAACCTCTCTTGCCATTTCAAACTGATAGTAATATTTTAAAAAAACATCTTTTAGGTTTGGACAAACAAAATACCTGGGTGATAATTTCTTTTTATCGTGATGTACCCTGTGTAACAAAAAGAGTTCATACATCAAATTTCTGAATACTTCCGTTTCAAACGGTTCGCAATATTTTCAAAGTGGGAAGAAGCATTGTTTTTAAACCAAAGTTGTCTGTTGTGAGAAATCGGAATGGTTTGGGCAAACAAGGTACCTGGGAAATAGTTTCCTTTTATCGTGATGTTCCCAGGGTAACCTATCACTTCCGGTGTAGGCCACGTGACCCGTGACGAATTGGACGGTGTGTGGCGCTGCAGGTCGTCTGGACAATTGGTGAAGGTTAATCGTCTGGTGCCTGAAGTAGAAACGAGAGTGGTTGACAAAACATGAATATTAGGTGTCTGTATATCAATATCTCCAGATGTGTTTATAAATCACACGGTTTAACATTGTCAAACCAGGAAATTATCCTTAATTTGAATAATATTTAGTGGCAGTAACATCATAGATGTAGTACATTTCGATGTCATTCTGTCACGTTATTATTATAATATATTCTCAATTCTGATTAACAGTATTCACATTTTCCGTGTCGTCTTATCAATTATAATAAACGATCATTAATCCCAACACTAGCTATCGCACGTTATGGACCAAACACTATAATTCCTTCTCAAAACCTTACCTGGGACTGGCAGAGGACCTCTTGCTAAAAAGAAAAAAATAAAATAGTTAATTTTGATAATCTAAGAGACATCACGTGTGCACTTTCACACTTGTAACGTGTTGTAAATAATACCAAATTAAATGCACATATCGGTATAATCCCACGCGTTGCTTCAATGTATGTATGGGAATAAACACGTGTCGACGATTCTTTTTTTTAACACGTATTAATTCCCCTCAGTCCGTTTTTATTCACTAGAAAGATGTAAAACATCAATATTTACAACGGCCTTATTAAGTAGAAGTGGCATCAAACATGAATAACGGAAAATTATTAGCAACATTTATGACCCAAAGAAAGGAGCAGTCTAAAGATCTTTTATGGCAGAGTGAGTGATTTATTCAGTTTATTCCATGTCCAATTTATTTGAGTCGTGTATAAGAAACTAATAGAAGTGGTTCAATGTGGTTAATATGTTACTGAGAATCCACACTCCACCGATGCTCGGTTTATACCGGGGTAAGTACCTTTAAGCAACAATTGTAAAACCTTGTTAGGCCCTAGCCTTTTTTCTAAACATATGCTAGAACCAAAAAACATTATATAATTAATATAAAATATAAACGAACTTTGTCAAAATACCCATTTTGACCGCCAGACATAACTATCCAGATATGTTTAGGTTTTGAAATACATGTGAAATTAAGATTTTCGTCGACAAACCTGTTGCCCAAGTTTCCACCCGTAGACGAAGACTAGAGGGAATAAAACCGAAACTCTCCAAAACACCTCGCAGCTCTGTATCCAAAACACTCAGAACGCCATCTATGTTATTGTCAGGCAAGGCGACCCTTCGTTTATTCCGTGGGCCTGTTTGAACATATGCTCGAAAATCTATGAGAAGTCCACCAGTATTTGCGTACCTTTTCAAATAGAAAACGGAAAGGAAACAATAATTTCGCGCCACTTTCATTATACTAACCAGATACAATTATTATTACCGGTATTATTATTGTTGTTGTTGCTGTTGTTATTATAATCTTTATGATTAAAATTTGCCAATAACCTCTAGTAAGCCGTGCATATCTTGATGTTACCTCACATCTTTTAGAACCGTTTCTACAAAAAACTCTCTGGAAACTGCATTGCCTATTCCTCTCACGGCGTTCGAGATCTGAGCAAAGGAAGTTTGTCGAACACCCGGCTGATGTTCCACTCCTCCGGCATACAGGGATGGTTCTGTGTTGTCCTTCGGAGATGACGTGAGATAACTTGATTTCATGGTACCGGTAAACGTTTGTATATCTGAATTATGAAATCAAAATGAATAGGCTATGATTAAGTTGGAAGAGTTACATGTACGTGGAAGGGTAGTTGTTTCCGTGCG